GAATTCTCAGAGACATTTGCATGATTAAAGTGTGGAGACAGATGACGCGAGTATCAAAGATCAAACTGGTTTGAGATTTTAATGCTTGCTAATGTATTCCGAACGCAAATCTTGTATAAAAAAAAAAAACACCTGAATGTTTTAAATGTACAAATAATGTCTCGCTTTTCTGTTGAGTATGGAGATACAGCCATTTGATTACTGGCGTAAATTTAAAGCAGCAATTTCTTCAGGTCTTCATCCATTCCTCTTTTAGATAACTGGTCAAGACTATGGTAGCGATGGATGATGTTGTTTTCAGTGACTACCACCACTCGAACACCATGAGTGTCATCTCCTAACTGACAACCAACTGCTGAGCTCACCACCATATCCAGTCCATCATGGCATCCTCCTGCATTCCTGTGGTAGTGGCCGGAAAACACAGCTTTCACCCCTGAAAACAGAGAAAGGAGGATGTTACTTACAAACGATACCAAAACAGATCTTAGGCCCAATCCAAATTCTATTTGTGTACCCCTATCCTTTCCCCTTAGCCAGGGGTGCTCAAACTCGGTTGTGGAGGACCGGTGTCCTGCAAAGTTTAGTTTTAACCCCAATCAGACACAGCAGGGCTAGCTAATCAAGTTCTTTTTAGGCTTTTGTAGAAACATCCTTGCAGCTGTATTGAGGCAAGTTGGAGCTTAGATCTGTAGGACACAGGCCCTGTAGGACTGAGTTTGGACACTCCTGCCCTTAGCCCTTGAAACAGAATTGGGACAGCACTACAACACCTGGACACATCATCATACGTCATCGCGATCTCTTACTTTATTTGAGATCGACAATCACAGCTGCTGAAGTTATTCCAGTTGCATTATTTTTTGATATTTATCTTCAGGAAATCACTGATATAATGATATAATGCAGAAATAAGACGGTAACTGCACTGTGCATTTACACTATGGCCATATTCATCAATGTAAACACAAAAAAACAACATTATGCCAGACACTGTGAAAAGGTCATTTCTAGAAAACTACATTTTTCTGACAGGGTATTCGAGTGTCATCGCGGGACAGAATGTTATGGGGCTCCTATACAAGAGTTATTATTACGGTTTATAGATTATGAATGTAATAAAATGTATTCAAAAAAAAAAAAGACTAAAGATGCGAATAGACATCCTATGTAAAGCCATACAGGTCGTTCACATTTCATATGAGAAGCACTTCTCACAAAACAGATGCTTTATACACATAAATACTTGTGTATAAATGTTCATTACTAACCTTTTTATCAACAGAATTTGATTATAACTGCACTCTCACGATTGTCTGTTTCTGAAAGGATCAGATGTCAGAAGCACTTCAATAATCACGCACTCGGTATTATCATCAGCATAAGAAGTTCATTATTTCAAATATAGATGCGCAATCGTGAGCTCCCTCGAGAAAGTGAAATCGCTCGCGCTTTTAGACGGGCTCGTAAAACAACAGCAGGACACAGCAGATTTTGCTCTTCTTAGCTTTGTGGCAGCTCATCAAGACAACGACAAGGTTTGTGTGAGCTCGGGTCGATCATGGCTTGTTATTATATGTATATATTATAACGGGCGTATCTCTGTAAACCAATAGTGTTCAGCTGCAACTTTTCGTACCCTTTTGTCGTGCTAGGTACCCTTTGCAAAGGGTGCCACGATTGTGGATCTGTCTGTTCCCCTTTGATGTGTCTATGTGCGTGTGTGTATCGTTTGGCTGTCAGTTGTGTTTACATGTCATCAGCTGGGTGGTCACGTGAACGCTTTTCACTGGCATTTGCCATTGCGTAGCACCACTCAGCTCATAATCAGAGCACCACAGGTGCAGCACATTACTGCGCCTTTATCTGTCCAGCATTCCTGTCTCACCTTGTCAGTTCATTGTTCTCACGTTTGTGTCTGTGTCCTGTCAGGCTCCCGTCCCCGAGGTGGTGAGTTGCAGTGTGAGCTTTGTGCTTTTGGACTTATATCTTCTCTGATGACGGCTCCTTGAACCTGTTACCTGCTGTTGAACTCTGTTTGATTCCACTGAGATATTCGACTATTGCTTGCTTCACTTGCCTGTCATCATGAGCTATCATCATACCTGCTGTTGTGCTCTGTTTGATTCTAATAAATCATTTGTTATACTTGCTATTGGGTTCCTTTGACTTTAAGACAAAGGGTATCCAAAAAGTGGTAAGGTACGGTCGCTTTTTGGTTCCACTCAGTTGAAACAGGCCATTAAAGTACTGTACTATATGTTCAGGTTACTTTCAGTTTCTCTCAGCGTGCAGTTGAGAGTAACGCTCATGCAGATTATTTCTGGGGCTGATTAAAACGTTGAAATTTATGTCCGTAAGTGCTCTATTTTCTTTTAAGCTCTATTTTTGCAAATATTCAAGGGTCTTTTGATTATAATCAGCTTTATACCACCTGTATTTTGTTGTACAAACACCTCTTTGTGGCTTAAACATTATGCTGGTGGTGTACTATAAATACGACCATTTTGCTAATATTTGATTTAAATGTTCTCATTAATATAATTTTTCAAATATCATATTCAAATTTGAATAAAAAATGTGCATTAGTTAAATTTTACTGCTAGCTGAATTGAACATTTTAAAGTGTGAAAATTTACATATATCCCCCCCTCTTTGTTGTTGTTTTACAAAAAAAGAATGATATTGAGAAGAATAATTGCCAGTAAAGTCAACAAAGCTACCCAAAATTCAGTATCTGTTAAACCTTTGGTTAAGTAACAATTGATTGGGACCTTATTATTATTATTATTATGCTTATTTTTAAATATTTAATATTTGCGTATTTTCATAGCGATTTAAATTACCCTTTCAAATTGTACAACAAGAAACAAAAAGATGGAGCTTTGATACTCTGAGGAAGAATGTCTAAGTGCATTAATTACATCAGGTTTCAACTTTTCTTTTGTGCGTGAATGATAAATCGGCCCTCCTATGATTGGTCAGTCACTGATATGGCCCCCCGCCAATTTGAGTTTAAGACCGTTGGTCTAAGTGGTCAGAATGATGGACAACATTTACATACAACACTATGATCAAACCAACATTATCAAGCTTTGGCTTCAGCAACCGAATCATTTGCATTTCCTATCTGATTGACCTTGTCTCAGTGCTGGTAGACTGAAAATCTTCATGGTTTGGCATCACTTCACATTCAGTTTAGCTGTTGATCTGTATTATCACTGTGAAGCTACTGCTCTCTCCCCTGCTGCAGTGACTGAATCTCCATCATTCATTCAGTATGTAAAGCAACGGACCGAATGTAGAACTAAATTAGTTTATCAAACAAGTCCCCCAGAGTGAGACGCACAAATAAGCTCTCTCTTTTGTAAAGGTGATGAATCTAGAGGTGTTTTTTCTTTCAGTCAGAACCGGTGGTACCCCCATACTGAGGTAATGGATGAAAACAGGAAACGAAATCTCACATGAATTTTTCATTCAGAACAGAGCAAAGGTGCCAAAAACCACAGGAAGATGCAGGAGATGGCATGCCAAAATACATAAAAGAAGAAGAAGAAAGAAGGAGAAAACGACTGTGACAGAAACACAGTGTTGAGAGGTATAATTACAGATGGTTGCTTGCTGTCGGAGTTCATCTAAATTTCACAAGTTGTTCTTGTTCCACAAGCACATGATAGCTATCTGCATGCTCTGTTGGACACTGCTAATGAAACCACACAAACAAAACACAATTACAACTACCTTGACACTTGAAAACTCACACTGCAGCACGTAAAGCTGAAGACCATCACCAAAACAATTAAAACAACAAGAACAAAACATTAGGATGAATTATAATTGCTTATAAATAACTATTATGCACATTTCAAGCGTCTTTCACATATCATAAAATCCACTCGACGAAAGCAAGCAACAGAAACATGATGGATAAAAAAAGTGTCCAATTATCTGGAGAAGTCAGATGTGAAACCGAGGGGGGGAAGAAAAATCAAAGCATTTCTTAAACAGTGATTTACTCTAAGGACATCCTCCCTTACTGCACTACCGGATAGAATAATTAGACACGCAATGCTGTTAATGACTGCATATATCTACTGTACATCATACAGCTGAAATCTGAATCTAATAGCTTTTCACGAACAGACTTAAGGACAGTGACGGACACTAAAAAGTGATTATGTTTTGTTTTTTAACTGTGAATAGTGAAATCTAGGTATTTAATCTTTAGTTCATATTATATGAGCTCATCATTTCTGCACATTAAAATTTGGGACATGGTTAAGAGATGATGATAATGATGTATTAAACAAAAAAAAAAATACAAATTCACCAAAAGGAAATGCTTTGTTATTATGCTTGACAGTTTTTGGGCATGATAATGAGACGCTATTAGATTTTTCTATTTATATAAAGATATGAGGTGTATTTGCATGATCAAAGAAGCTACCCAAAAGGTATTTCAAAGATGCTTACTAAGTGAAACGACTTGTTTTAGAGGTGCCATAGGATGAAAATTTGGATACACTTAAGCGCAGCGGAATAATAAAAGCCCAGTACATGAAAATTATATACCTTATGCCTCAACCACCACTGTATTCTCATTCTCATCCAAAAATGTGAATTAAATTGATGTGCAAAACTGGAATATCACATATCTATCTATCTATCTATCTATCTATCTATCTATCTATCTATCTATCTATCTATCTATCTATCTATCTATCTATCTATCTATCTATCTATCTATCTATCCATCCATCCATCCATCCATCCATCCATCCATCCATCCATCCACCCACCCACCCACCCACCCATCCATCCATCCATCCATCCATCCATCCATCCATCCATCCATCCATCCATCTATCTATCTATCTATCTATCTATCTATCTATCTATCTATCTATCTATCTATCTATCTATCTATCTATCTATCTCTCTCTCTCTCTGTCTCTCTCTGTATATACATACACACATACGTTAGTTTTAAATAATTCACAAAATAAGCATAATTTTCATCTTTATTTTGTTTTGTACTAGCTATGTTACATTAAAACTATAGAAAATCTTAAAACGGCTCCTTTTGGTTAAAATACAAAAAAAATGATTTTTGTTTTGAATAGTTTTAATTAAACATTAACTGAATAGTTAATAAAGTGTTGCCGATATTAAACAAGATTGCTAATTAAAACTCTGAGTGTTGATAATGTTAACTCTTTCAAAAGTGTTATTTTAACACAAACTTGTCAGAGCACAAAATGCAGTATAGAGATCATAAATTTATTAAACGACATCACAAAGATGCAAAAGGTCGGTTTGAATATGTTTAATTGGGAATTTAACATGTATAGACACATTTATGTTTATATTGAGGATATAGGGAAATTTTAAAGTGCTAAAATAACTTTTTAATGCACAAATATGCATGTCCCTTCA